CAGGGAGGGAAAAAAAACAGCTTATGCACACGCTTGACACTTTTGAACTGCTCTGAGCAAACAATTAGCGGGTTTCTGGTAACTTCAGCGCGTGAAGTTTGATTAGGAGCAGCACTTCTCGGGATGTTTTACACTGTTTAGCAAAGAAGAAAAGAAAGGCAGCGTCCTGAGACATCTCTGGGTACCACCTCGGCCCTCGCCATCCCTTCCCACGAGGGCTTCCCACCGACAAAGAGAAGTCCCAGAGAGCTACTACGCCGTGTGTTGATCTGTGGAAACAGCTGCACATAAATCCAACGGAACATTCCACGCAGCACTGTAGCACGCCACGGCGTCCCCCGGGGAAGCTCGTTTTGGATTAAACGCAGTCGTCAACGGCAAGACGTTTTCAAAATTTTCATTTGTCAATTTAAAAGCATTTCAATAGTCAAGGAGTCGTACCAAACCTTCTTTGATTAAAGCTTTTCAGAAAAAAAGTCATCAGATGGTTACAGCCAATACAAGTTTATGGGGAAACATTTTAGGTGACTTTTCTGGTTGTCAAGTGAAATCCGGTTGTATAAAAGTCTATTGGAAAATGATTACTTCTCTCTTGAGTCATTTATTCACTCTGTGAACATTGTAAATACACGTTTGTCTGCTTCACTACAGCATGATGTTCATTTTTTAAATTATTAGACCAGAACGCAGGATAGGCTTTAGGGCGGGCTCACTGTGATTGACAGGTTGTAGAACCGTAACTTCATGAGAATTCATTGTAACATTTTGCTGCCTTAACATGTCTTGTGCTTAGCTTTATTTTGTCTCGTTTATATTTAACTCGGCAGAAATGTGTACCTCACTTCAATTTGACCAGTCAAGGATGGATATTTAAAAAGTATTAACTGTGGTACAATAATTCTGATTATTAAAATGCCTTATTTTCGGACTGTCCTATTTTTCATTTCCAAAATGTGTTTTGTCTTTTCAAACCAAAAAGAAGAAATCTGTTCTTTATTTATCCATTATTTCTATGATCTTTCAGGTTTTTACTGTGCAGAGGTATCAAGTCGATTATAAAAAACATTACCCAGAATACATTTCGTTTTCTATCAAATCTAAAAATGCAAAAACTACTAGCAATTAGACATTTTGACCACCTCTCCTGCTGTTCATTTTCTTAGACCTGCAGAAGCAGTTTAAATGCTGCAGCCAAGGACGTGCGCAGAAAGAAGGCTTCTCTGTGCAAAAAGCAATCAGGAGTGACCTTCCTACAGCTCGTGTAGTGTCTCAGATCAACTTAAAGCCTCAAATCTGTTGTAAGGGGTTGCAAGTGACGGGTCTCTGTCTGAGACCTATATGTCATTCACTTCCTCCGGCCGGGGGGGGGCTTTAATCACAACAAGTTCAACCTATAAAAGAAATGGAAAAAAAAAAGACATGGGAGGGCGGAGCCCGCTAACCGCCTGCGGCGGCTTCCTTTGTCCGCGCGGTAAATACGGCCTCAGCCGGCCCGCTGCTGGCCCCCGCTACACAAGGGGGCCGCGAGGCGCTGTGCCAAATTGACTTGTCCCTAATTTTTATGCTAATCCTCAATCTTTTACATCAGACGCTCCCCACATTTGATATAAAAGATATTAAATAAATAAACAGAGGGAGACCCAGATAATCTATTTTCGTAAAGACGTCTTATCCTTTGACAAGTGAAGATTTCTGCAGATGGCTTCGCTTATTTGCATGTTCAAAATGCTGACAACGACTAATCACCAGTGTCATCATCAAATGTTAATGTCTTAATGTGAAATAACGCTGTGGCCCAAAAGGCAGAACATTTTTACCTTCAACTGTCCCTCCAACTCGCAGGAAGGAAGATAAAGTCATTTAAATCAGCTGCGAGGACTTTGCAACCAGTATTAATTAGTCCATTTCTGTCGTTGACCTCAACGCAATCTTCATCACAGAGAAAAGATTCAACGGCGAGTTCGTGTAATTACTGTCACGGTAAACGTGAGCAGGGGGACAGATAATAGAATAATAGAGGGAAGACAAAAGTGAGATGAAGTCACGGAGGTTATGAGATATAAACGATGTCGCTTTGGTGTGACTGGATTCATGCGAGAGGCATAGAACCTTTACATTAGAACAATTCCATCTTTTCAAATCGCCCCCCTCCCCCCCCCGCTTTATATTGCTGCATTAATCCTCTTAACCCCAGTCAGTGATTAATTGTGTAAAATAAGTCAGTCTAGATTAAATGTTTTGCGGTCAAATTACATTTTGGAATTATGAGGTTTTCACTGATGGGAACTGACAGAAAAGAAGTCATAAATCTGCACAGCGTGATAATCAACACCAAAGGCCAAAGAGCACGCCTTTCTTTTTAAAATGGCGGAGCCAAAAGTGCCATTAGTGTACATTAGAGGACTGCAGCAGTTTCCTGTTCGAAACAAATGATTAATAAACAACAACGACATCACAGCTGTCACTTTTTAGCGGCGTGACCTACGCGCGCAGGCTACTTCCTGGAGACGCATCATGCAGCGCCGCTCCACAACCCCGACAGAGCGGGACTCATTCCGTCCAGCGTGACAAAGATGAGGTGCGACGCGTCCAATCAGCAGCCTCCTCCTAGACCGCCGCCGGGCCGCGGGAGGACTGGCTGACTGCGTCAGACGAGGCTTCGGGGGCCTTCACGCATCCAGTCATTTTTTTTCTTCTTCTTCTGCGTCACTAGAAATGGAGCTAAAGCCACTGGAACATTGGTCGATTGAATACAAACGATCATTATTCCCAAGTGAGCGTGATGGCGTGAAGTTATGTCGTTTTCTTTTCTCGAACAGGAGCCGTCTAAGAACATTCGTCACACAGGCAACATCTGGAGCAGCCGACGTTCCACCCTTCAAACCACAAACCCCCCGCGGGCTGCAGCCCGACAGGGTGCTCGCTCGGTTTCATAACCGTTTCCCCTGTTTCTGGGGCTCTCGGGGGGGTTTGAGGCTAATGGTTTACATAATATCCACACAGATGGGGAGGTGGGAGCGCTGTGGTGTGATGAAACCTTCAAGTGTCCCCTTTTACCTCGGTTCATGACAACGGCACTCCGCTGGGATGAGAAACAACAAATACATGAACGCTTCCATTACCAAGTTTCTTTTGTAACAAATAGAGATGGGCAATATCTCGATATGATCAGTATAAAATCAGATACTGAGATATGGTGATAAACACTCATCGAAAAGTACAGATTATGTGTGAATATCATTTTGATGTTGATATATCATGATGATATGATATCATGTATTTTTTGGATCACACTTTACGATACAATGTTCAATGAGTCAGAACGCCAGGAGTCTTTTTATATCACAAATCTCTAAACGTGTATTAATAATCAAAAGGCGATTATTGCCGCGCTGTTTGGAGTCGGATCTGTCTCAAGTTAAACAGATAGAACAGAGTTCTGCCTCGCCGCTCTACGTTATCTTTATCTGGGGGAATCTTAATAATTCTAGACAGTCGCCCTGTACACTAAAACTCTGTTTATTGAATATTAACTTGCAGTATTCAAACACTTTTATGCAAAACAAAACCATCAGCTCCCAAGGGGCCTAAAAAGGCTTCCTGCCCTCGCACACGATTGCAGCGCTCTTACACTCAAAGTGTGTTAGACACAAGGCCTCCGACACAACGCGCGCCAAGGCCGCGGAGGAGCGCTGACAGCGGGGGCATCGGAGCGCGAGGCGCCACGCGGATGGTCCATCGACACCGAGCCGGAGCCGAGCCGCGGTTATCAAACGGACGAGTCCGTCGGTTGGGTGTCGCGCTGGCTTGTCCGGCCGGCTGAATAATCATCCAAAGCCGCGCTGACGTTTGGCGAGGGAAAGCTTGCGTTGCAATATTCAAAAGGGTATCTTTGACCTCTCATCTTAAGATATTTAAATACCAGTGGGTCCTCCGGGTACCCACGGGTGTTCCCTTCTACAGGCGAGCCCTTTTTATGATGATCCCGTGCCGTTTAGGCTAAAGAACGTGCCCTTTGTTTGCACGCAGTGTAAACGGCTTGTCTTTGTGTATTCTTGAATTAATTCTTGAATGTATTAGAACATTCTGGGCTTCCTAATCCCACCTGGTATTTAAAAATGGGATGTGACGGGAAAGCTGAGACCCCTGCGGATCCAACGACTTCTGCAGTATTTATATATGGAAGTTACTTGTGAGACCGTTTCTGTTGTGACCTCACAGAGTCACAGCCTCATGACAATACGGCCGTCCAACTGCCAGAAAAGATGCGATTCTTGCAGGAATTTAGTAGCGTTGTGATATCAAACCACAGCGTGAGACCTTGATGTGGTTTGATATGACAAAAGAGGGTCTTATTAGTGTGTTGATGAGATTTTTTTTAATTATTCAATTAAATCCAGCACCAAATGTGTGTATGCAACAAAAGGTATCAACCCCCAGACCACAAAGTTGTTGCAACAATTTATGAGACATAATCGAGCATGGGGAATTGCCATCATGTACTTCCGTCATAAAGCTCCAGGCCTCCCACACTTTATTTCAATTAGTTAATTAATCCATTCGTTCTTTTAGTCGTGATTTATGAGTAGAGCAACTTGTCGCACGGTGCTGAAATTAATCTCCAGGTTCCAGACTTGCAGATGATGTGGACCGCTGTTGATCTGCCATCTTTCCCTAAAGATCTGTAGCCAGCGTGCGACTACCAACCATCAACACAGTGACATTGCCACTCAAGTTCACTTGTTTCTAAGGAAAACTGCTGCTGAGTTCATTGTAGAGACAAATAAACTATTTAAACTGAAGTGGAACAGTAATGCAGACTGACACTTAGTATGGGAGAGGGGAACACGAGGTGTGTGTGTGTGTGTGTGTGAATGGGATAACAGCAAAGTGACGCTCAGGATAAACCTCCCCAGTGACGGGAAACAAAGGCTCCTGGTGCGTTTGTATTTCTGATGGCGTCTAAAGGGTTCATCGTCTGCCATTTGCTGGCTCGTTACCTGAGGGGTCAGGGAAGGAGGACTCTCCTGCAGCTTTGTAAGGGTTGAACTTAGGCTTGGGTGCCACCACGGGCGCAAATTTCTTGGGCGCTTGCTGCTGGGAGATGGAGATGCTCGCGCTGCCCAAAGTGGTCTCCATCCTGGCGGCCACTTGTCCCGTCTGGTCGTTGCTGTTCCACATGGTTCTGACGGAGAAAGGCGGGAGGGGTTAAAACCACGAAACGGCCGAAAGAATCCAGCTGCAGAGTTCAACTTTAATAAAGAAACAACATGTCAGCAGGAAGCACCAGTGATCTCTAAGGGGGAGGTGGGGTCATAGGTCAAACTGCAGCAGTCCTTGTACTGTGGCCTAACCTAATCTTTACAATATAGATCAAAAGCATACACTGAAGTTGTCACACAAATGGTGTGTCAAATACCATTTTATATGAAATATGGTCACGCTACGTAGGAATCATTTTACAGTTATGTGGAAAAAGAAATCCCACCATTCATTTAAATATTTTGTTGAAGAATAATAAGGATAGTGATTTGTTAATTATAGGCATAATTTTTCCTCCGATGCACACGCTTCTCGTGTGCATCTCATAAGCGGCATAAGCGGTCCACACTACTTCCTGTATTTCAACTATTGAGTCAGACTATCACAGCAGGTTATTTCACGTGTGGGAAAATGCTGTGAAGTGATAAGCGCTGTGTGCTGACATGCATTCACGTGTCCAATTCAATTAAAAAGTAACAAAAGTATCAAAGGGGAGAAGGAAACACGTTGAACTCTGACACGTTTGCAATGAGAAGACAAGACGTGAGAGACATGAGTGTCTCATTCATTCATGCCGCTTTGTTGGTTTGTTTTAATGTATGATTAAAATGGCAAGATGCAGCCGAGCTTGACAGCTAACCAACTAAATAACTGCGATGAATAGGATGTTCCTGCATTTGTGGATGTGTACGGCCATCATACAGTTACAGTGAAAACAACAGTCAAAGACTTTGCCGTGGCTGAGGACACAAACATCCAGTATTTCACCATCGCATTCTGAAATCACTTGAAATATTTGAACTATTTATACGCCATGCTGTTCCCCATCCTTCTTTTTTGTGTGTTTGTTATGCTGCGTTCTGATGTTTTTATGCTGTTTATTATCCTCAGTCTGACTGATACAGGGTTTACATTCTTTCTCCGGAGCACGGGAGAAGAAAAAAAAAAGCCCACGCACAATCATCTTTTAATATCTGCTGAAATCCCTGTTCCTCCTGCCGCCTGAATGCTTCTTACTTTTCATACACCCCCCCGCCCCCCGCCATCCACCCCTCCACCCCGCTCTTAATGCTGCAATTCAAACACGCTGGTGTCTCACACCCACCTGTCCTTTCAATGCAAAATGCTTTCATTTCTCGAAGCTCAACTGGCTAACAAAATAAAAGATGAATTAAAAAGAAGGCGAGAGAGGAGAAATGATCTTAGAGTGTGTGAGCAGGATTCAATGGGTGACGAACTGAATGGAAAACGGCTGTTTCGCTGTGTGGTTACTGTCTTCTTTTTTTTTGATGGTGGCAAATAATTCACAGGGGGTGTTTTAATGCTTGCTCGGCCTTAAAGTGAACAATCAAATCCACTAAAAGTCGTTTTTTCCTGCAAAAAAGGATTAATGTGGCACCCTGGCCGATGACCTCAGCTTACCATCGCCGAATAATTCAGAGCAACTTGTGTCAATGAAACCAGACCAAAAAAAGATTGACATATCTGCGGTTTGAAAAAAAAAAAAAAAATGAATGAAGGAATGCAATAAAAAGGAAGCAATACAAATACAAATATGACAAAAAATGTTGCGGTGGATTTTTTAGAAAAGTTTCTCCATTTTGAGAACAACAATCCTCTGTTGTTGTTCGGTGGAGGCAGAAGTTGCACACAGATATTTGTGTAAAAGCCAGCGACTCGCTGCATTATCAGACATCTACTGCAATGGCTAAGTGGGACATATATGGGCTTTCTATTTTAATGTGTCAACCTTTTAACAAGTTATGGGCCGAGCCTGCTGTTTCAAAAGAAATGTTGTATTGTTGCCGGAATACATTAGAGGAGCCAAACGTTTAGTCAATCTCTTAATACTTCCTAAAAAAAAGCAGGACATAGTAAACCAACAGCGGGCAGTTCACACGAGACTTCTTTTGAAATCATAAATCAAATCACAGTGCGCTTGTGTTCCCTTTTTATTTTGAGGGTGTGACGGGCACGGCAAAAAAAAAAAAAAAGAAATTAAAACGTTCAGCTCGGCCAGAGTGACAGAGAGACAAAACCAAAGAGTAACGGTTTTGGTTGCTAAGTGACGGCAGGCGTGACTTCTCCCAGCACCTGTTGTAAAGGCGCCTGGCGGTTTTTGACACGACCGCAGCATGTTCCTTCAGGTCCCGACTACTTGTCGAATGCACACGACGACACATCGGTCAGGACAGAGAATCTACTGCTGTTAGATGCGAAGCTCGTGCACCTCCAGGAGGTTCTGCAGGATACCTGCTGTCCATCTGCCATCTGCCCCCAAACGGGTCAGCGACCTGCGAGGGCGCAGTTCACGATTCCATTCTGGAATTCTTTTCTTGTTAACGATTCAAGTTCTACTCTGCAAATGAGTCAGGTTTCTCAGGCTGATCCGAAGTTACTGCAACCGCACCTCATTTTGTACACTCATCAAAAGGGCGTTTACTTTTCAAATGCTTTAAACAAAGAAACATTACTGGGAAGTTGTTGAGGACGCAGGTTTACAGTCCTTCCTTCTACGAACCGGACCGCTAGAGAGACTGGCTCACACGTTAGTGGTCAGACGTTTAGGGAAACAATGAATTGCTCATTTTGTTCCAGCGCCTATGAAGTTCTCACTAAGAGCTGGAGGTTGTGACGCATGTGGGGGAACAAGTGCTTCTTCAACCGCCCACCGAGGCTCAACTAGAGAACGCGCGTTCATGTGACCCACTTCCTGTTTGGCGTTGGCCTCATGCTTGCTCGGATGACTTTCATTTCTTTTAATAAAGTCGCTTTGCTGTTCCGGCAGCATCGATAGCTGCCAATGAAACGAGGGCCTCCGCTTGAGATCTCCGTAACGTCGTGCTTTGGGTTCAAGACCTCCTGGATGGTTTGGAGACCAGCATGCAGCAGTGAGAGGGCGCGACAAGGACGCCGTGTCAGTCCATTGCGGTCGCAGCTTCACAGTTTCCACTTTGCCCCGTGTGTGTGTGTGTGTGTCTGTGGGAGGAAACCAGAAACCATGCGGAGAAAAAGGCCCACGCAATCAACAACGCGTGCACCAAACTGCAGCTTCGCCGCTAACGCGTTCTGACTCGACAGACCGTTGCCGTGCGCTGGCGCGGCTCAGAGGCCTGACGAGACAAACCGCGGCGTGCGCTCATGCCAATTTAACTTTGACTCCATGTTCCTGTGATCTCCTGCTACTTAATAGGATGAAGAATGCATTTGGTTACCACTCGTGTGGATTGGCTTTGATGTGTGGAGTGATAAAACACTCACAGGAGGGATTGATACGTGAGGCGTATGACACGGGTCCAACGTGCACGCGTACTTGCAAGAAGAACAAAAAGCTGCGTCCCCATTGAAGCCTCATGAAAGGAAAGTGGGTTGTGATTGGCGGGCGAGCGGTGACACCGGGTGTTTAACGGCGTGCTTTATGGGGGGGGGGGAGGTGTCTTCTCAAGCTGTTCCGCTGCACTTCTACAGCTGTCATTGAGGAACCGCTGCAGGTGTTTCTGCTCATTATATTTTTTTTTTCCCCCAGAGAAACTTTCACACAAACCCCTCTCAAGGGGGCCCCACGAGGGTCAGGGGAACGTGAAAGGCGCGGGTTCCAATATTTTTTTTTTTTTTGGGGGGGGGGGGGGGGGGGCAGGGGGAGTGCTCTCTACACGCTTTCTAGCAAAATCTTCTTAGTCAGAACCTGATCTGGCAAAAAAAGCTGAGGTAGCTTTAACAGATTCTGTTCCTTTTCTTCCACATTTTACAGGCGATTCCTGTTGCAGCAGCAGCCGCCACAGGAGTGTTTCTGCTTTCTACCTTGACAACTGTCAAAAACCATTAATTTAGCAGTTGAATCAAAGAAACTGCTTTTGTTATGTGTGTTGAAATTCTCTCTATCTATAAATAAAACGGAGCGATGAGACGCGTGTGCCGGTCCGACCTCTGTAAAGGCTTTATTGGGGTAGCAGCCCGAGGTCGGGGGTCAAAACCAAGGCGGCATAAGATTTTGGCAACACTGGCTGCGATCTTTCAGGTGGATCATTTTCTCAGTCTAAGAATGTGAAACAGGAACGCTGAGCTCTGTAGTTTTCAGGTTTCAGCAAAGCTCTCATAACCAAGAGAAAATAGGGCATTTGTTGGGCACTATTTTCAGCCACAGATTAATACACATTTAGTGCTCTGGCGTGTTTGCCGACAACAATGGAGCTCGATGGCGCAGAGCATGAAGATATACGAGGCTTTGATTTAAACACAATACTTGTTAGTGGGATCACTTTATTGTTGCATTTGGTCTTTTCATGGGATTTGCTGACGAATACAGACTTTTAGAATAGCACCGAAAAACTGGTGCATCTGCTGGTTGGCTTTACACAACAGTACGAAACTGCAAATGACAATGATCAAATGTCCTCACGTACGCCACGTACATTAAAGGGCCATCATGCTCTAAGTGCCCCGAAGATTATAAAAGAACAGTGAAATAAGATGTGAAAAGTCCAATTATGCTGCTTTTCCTCCCACCTTGTGCTCCGTCCCATGAGTGGAGTTCAGTTAAACCTACACAGCCCCTGGTTCACTGAGCACCGATCAAAACATTCAAAAAGACACGGCGAGATGAATGTGAAGATACACTCTAGCTGGCAGATTTTTCATCGCAACGAGAGGAGTGGGAGGCATCTGGGATTAGCACTCACGGGTCGTGATGCAACGCGCGGAGGGTCGGCCATGCGGATGAAAACGCTTTAAGAATTAAAAAGGTTTCCATCTGCAGGAGTCGTCCCAGCATTGGACTCGCTCTGCTTTAGGGGGCCGGTCGAATGGCTGAACAGGTTAACGCGACATTACACAAACAAGAGCTCGCTGCCTGCGTTCTGCCGCTCGGAAGCGGGGAAGAGCCGAGGGTTCAAGTGGTCATTACGGATCTTGAAATGTTTTGTG